AGAAAAAAAAAAAGGAACAGAGCGGGGGGGGGGGGGGGGAGGCAGAAAATGATTGAGAACTTAGAAGCTGGAGGTAACAGACTACAAATCCCAGCAGTGATTGAGCAGGTAATATTCTTAACCCAGAGCTCTTTGCCATGCTGTATCTTTTTTCCATTGCTTTATTTCCGTGGGCTTCAGAGTAATGATGGGTTATTGTGTGTACTGTGTTGTGTGAGTAGTTGATTTGTGCACGGGTTGGGTTGTGCTGGGACATTTGTGTGTGTGTGTGTGTGTGTGTGTGTGTGTGTGTGTGACACAAATCAGGGATGTATGCTGCAGTATGGGGCTATGTGTGTTTAGAATTATTGCATATACTGCTGTGTTGTGTGGGTGGTTGTGCCAGTTCTTTGTTGATTTGTGTTGATGGCAGCTGGGCTGAGTAATCTACTATTTGTACAGTCTGTCACAACCAATGAAATTGTTGCATGCAAATTAGATGTGTAGTAAGGTAATTGGTTATCTCTGATATCACAATGGCCTGCATGGCAGAGATATATGCCTGACTGTACCTGTATAACATGCGAGTTTAATTTGAAAGTCAAAACAAGAACTTAATTTGGACAGTAAGAGACCACATACTCGAACTCGAACAGAGAGGTCTCAACCATGCTTGTCTCTGCATCTATTACATCACACACACAGACATTTAGGCTTCATGGTAACATAGTATGATCATTCTGGTCTCTTTTTACATAGATTATGAAAACAAAATGGGATGTTGTCTCTACTCAGTACAAAGAAATACAGAAATGCAACCACATAACTTTCTTTCCGAGATGAGGCTATTCCTTTGGAGTAGTATATTTCACTAAATAAGGAAAATTTCACTAAAGGTTACTCTAAACTTCAAAATAATGCAGTTGATGAGTCTAATACTTTTCATAATACTTGAGTGGAAGTGTTTTAGAAGCAAATAACAATGAAGTACAGAAGTCGTTAGGATTGGCTCCTAAGGTGATAGAATTTGTTTCTAAACTCTTTTCCTATATGTCTTTTAAAAGTAGCTGCAGTTAATAGATATTTGCAGGTTATTTTCTACACTTATCCTTTATATCATAGGAAAGTTTGTTGTAAGTGTTCAAATGTTTGCCTTTGTTCCATTTATAGAAAACCTTTGACTTTGTGCAGGTTGGACCTGTCTGGTCAGGCACCCTTGGGACCTGACCAGTCCCTAACGAGGGAGTTTCCCTGACCAGAGGAGGCCAGTGAAGGCTCCTCTGTTTCCAGTCTCAGGGATCTGTTCCTGGGGCGGCCTCTGGTCCCCCGGGCTCCTCTCCTGGCCATGGGCCCCAGCCACTAGCCCTACCTGCTGGGCCCTTTTCCCCACCCTGACCACCAGGCCCCCTACCGCTGATTGGGCTCTGCTTCTAGCTGCTGGACTCCTGGCTAGTCATGGATGCTGGGCCCCTTGCTACTGGGCTCCGTACCCGGCTGCTGGGGCTCTGTGGTCCAGCAGTATCCGTAGTCCTGCTGCCATGTTTTTCCCATGAGTGCTCCTACCCCAGAGCACCATGGGGTCCCCGAGGATGCTGGACTCTGGATGTTGCCAGACCAGAGTGTCCTGGACTAGAAAGGTTCGACCTGTGTCATCAGTCAGGGTTTTGGGCTTGTCCCCGTTCATTCCTGAAAGGTGCTCTACTGTGTTGGTGATGATAAACTTTCGGCTGCGTGCGTGCGTGTGCTCCCTTTATCTAAAGCGTTAAACCCCATGTTCTTGGGCCAGCACAGTAGATCTCTGAGAGCTCCCTGGAATTGACAGATTCAGGCAAGGATGAAACCAGTTGAGCAGGCTTATTGCCAAATGCGATGCCTTAACAGTTGTCAGCAGGTCTCAACGCCAAACCACTGTGCATTCTGCAAGCGTTGACAATGTACCAACACATAGCAGGCCTATTGCCAAGTGACGGATATTAACAGTGGTTAGCCAGTGTTAAGCCACTATGCGTTCTGTAAGTCTCGGCAATGACACCTGCCGTTTCAGGTGTCTAGTGCACCCCCCCATGTCGGTCAGCGCTCACCGTTTGCGGTGCCCTTTTATAGACATGTACAAACAACTTACATCACTTCTTTACGTACCAGGTTGCCACCCTCTGTTGCCGAGTTACAACCCCTCACCTTGCAGCAGAGGGGCTTACTTACTGTCCTTCATGCTGTCAGCTTTGACCTGGTCCTGAACCTAGGTCGGTATGCACATTAGTTTTTGGGGAGTCTTTGTACTAAGACATTTCTTAAGATGTTCCGCTACTCCCTTCTGGCTTACAGTCTGTACCCGGTGCCTCCCTAGGTCCTTCCATGCTCCACCTAACCTACACTATCACACAATTATCACTAGGGCCTCTTTCTTGTCTCCTTTGTTACTGAACCAAAGTTTTGCTCACTAGATTCCAGGCCTGTTTCTGTTTTCATGTTTCAGACCTTTATTCAGTCCTGCGGACTCCATGTTACTGACCCTCAACTTACTACGACCTGTACACTCATTCAGTGGCTCTAGCATGGCATAAAGCTAGATATTTCACATACACCCCAGCAACATCTAAATGCTGATAATTGAGATGAATTCATCCAATCACTGCTCAGATTTGGTTGGTAATGCAAAGGCTGTGCTCTGATTAAACAGTTAGTGGGTAATGTTTAACTTAGGTGGTGCGCTATTTGCTCTGAATAGGTGGGATTCAGCTTCCACTTTTCAATTGTCAAGTAATGAATCATGGCATAGAAAATATTGTGCTACTTGGTTTATTGTTTTGGGGTGTACCAGCAATGCAGGATCATGTCCATGTACAGTTACTTTTTTATTAGCGAAATGTTCTGTTCTTATTTCCTTTCAATCTAGGTTCTTCATAATGAAGATGCTGAAAAGCCCCTGAAAAAGGTGGATCCACAGTTGTTAAAAATGGCATTGACTCCTTACCCCAAACTCAAAGCGGCTCTCTTTCCGCAGAACACATCTCATGGAATTTTGCCATCTGATATCTCACTCTACCATCTCATGCAGGTATTTATCATGCAGTAAAAAAGAAGCTGCAGAATTTCAGAGAACTTCCATTTTGAGCTACAGACCATTTGAAAGCGAGTGTTCCCATCTCAGTTTATTGCAAGTGTGAAGCAGTACACCCCCTCTACACCAGGTCTTCAGCCAACTCTAGGCTCAGTGGTCCTTTCACTTTTTATCTCTTTCATCACCTTTTTCAGTGGTCAGTAAAGGAACCCAGGCCTTCCCTTCACCCTAGTTTCCAGGCCCAGCTAGCATGGGCTTCCTCTTACTCCTTGGTGGCTCCATGAACTACTGAACCTGTCTCTACGGCAGGCTGTTTTCCTCGGCCTCTTCCTGGGAACAATCCTTCACAAATTATTCACCCCTTCCCAGTCTCTGCAGAGCCCTTTCTGGCTCTTTACTGTGTGATGCCTCCCAGGGTTTTCACCTTGATGGCCCAGCTCCTGTCTGCCGCTCCCAAGACTGTGTGTGTCTTTTTCCTTTGCGTCCCTAGGGTGTGCCCTTTTGTCAAGACCTACTACTAGCGCATGCTCCACTCTCATGGGTTCCCAGCATCTCTCCTAGCCCTTTCCTGGTGTTCCCTCTTCAGGAGAGGAGCCCACGACCTACTCTCCCCTGGCTTTCTGTCTCCCAGCGCCTCCCACTGCTCTGAGTGCTCCCTGTAGGAACATGTCTTAGTTCCTCTTCAGCTGCATCTAATAACGCATTGGTTCTTTTGCCGCTAAATGGACTTATCGAACTCCCAGGTTTCTGTTAATTCTTTCGCTGCCAGCATGGAATATGCACTTACTTCATCAGAACAATTATTATGAAACTTGTATTAAATCTTCTATGTTGTAATTGTAGAGAGAATTTTTAAATGTATGCAAAGGCTCAGACCCAATCATTTATGGAAAAGCCTTCACTACTCTTCAGTGTCTCTCAGGCTGGCTTGATTTCACAACTGAACGTAGAGTAACGTACTGTCACATGCTACTGTGCACATCCTGGTCCGGGACTGACGTTTAGGCTGTAGGCCAAGGTTGGCATGAAATTCAGTGAGGAGATAACCAAGGAATCCCCTGGTGCCATTTTCAGTCATTTCATTTTAATCAATAAGCTGAGTGTAAGCAGGCTGGCTGAGGTTATCCAGGGGTGTCTCAAGGGAAGCTCCTATATCCATATTTAGGCACCTAAAACACAGGGATCCCATACAGACAGTCTTATGAAAGCCCTTTGTTGGTAGATATCCTTGACTCATGTTAGGCAAGTGATGAAATGACCCCTTAATTGCTGGGAATAGTCTACTGGACTACTAGAAAAGTATTAGCTGCACTAGGCCTGCCATTCAGCAAAGCACTCACAGAGATACTTTTCCACTTCAGCATGTGCTTTAAGCTACAGGCAGATCCCATAGGAGTTGGAAATACGAGCGTCCCAGAAAGAGTTGCCTGAGATATTTGTCACTGCGGCATCCACAAGCGCGTCACTATGAACTACTGTAGCTACCTGAAGTATGTTTTGTTCTAGTTGTCTTTGAAATCATGGGGCTTTGAACTGTTTCTCTGAATATATTTTGTTTTTAATTTTTCAGTCTTTAGCGCCTTTTGATCCCACTAAATTATTTGGCTGGCAGTCCTCAAATACTCTTGCCATAGCAGGTAATGAATTTTCAAATGTAAAATATTTGTGTTGAGGCTGCAGACTTAGAATGAAGTACTTTTCAGTGGATGTCCTAATCTTAAATTACCTCTAAGATGCGTGTCTGTACAGCTGCCTATTAAGACCCAGGCACTACCTATTAAGCCCTGCATGGGCTCAAGGCTGCAGCTGGAAGAGATGCCTCTATGCAAGCCCCAAAGCTGCCACAGCCTGGGGAGAGGTTCCTCTCCCTCCTGGCACCTTTCCCCGATGGCCCCTGCATAGAGCTGCCCCAGAGCTGTCGTGGCATAGGGATAGGTTTTCCTTCCCTAGTCATCACCCAGCATAACCCCTGCCTGCTCTGGCAGGGGGACAGGCGCCCCTTTCCCAGCCATGCTCATTGGCACTGCTGGGGCAGTAGAGAGGCTCATCTCACCTGGCCCCAAGCTGCTGTGGTGAGAGAGGCCTGGAAGGGGAGCCCTCTCTCCCAGGGACAGCCTGCACCCCAAACCCCTCATCCCTGGCTCCACCCCAGAGTCTGTATCTCCAACTGGAACTCTCAGCCTCCTGCACCCTACTGTCTGCTCCTCCCCAATCCCCCTCCCACATCCCAACTTCTTGGCCCCACCCCACCCACACACTGCCCATATGCGGAATGACTTTTGTTATGTGCACCAGAATGGGGGTGACATGTCAAAAGTCATTCCTTGCAGGTGGACATACACAACTCGAGGGAACATGGTCACAATTTGCCCTTTCTGGGCACGCCCCTTGTTCAAGCCTTATTCTCTGAAGTGCTACAGCCTTTTTACTTCTTCACTTTGCTCTCGGGACATTTGCCTGTGACTGTCGTAACTGCCTTCCCTAACTCTGGCCTCTTCAGCACTCACCAGTTGACTACACCTCTCACCATGAGTTTAAAAAGCCACTAAGCTTTTATTTGAGCAGAGTGAACATAACATAACCATAGCTTTCAGCAACCTTCCACAGCGGGGCTGGAACCAATTGCCAAGAGCCATTGAATCAAACTGTAAACCCTGGATATAACGGAAAGCACTTCAAGCCAGGGGGAGCTGCAGCACCCCCAGAATCCCTAGTCCCTTTGCATAAAATGATTTCTTATATTATACTAAATGTTTTGTTTCAAATAGAGGTGTTAAATTAAATTTAATCAACAGTCGATTAGTCAATAAGCCCGGGAGCCCGCAGCAGGCGTAGCACCCGCCCTGGGAGCTAACCCCACTGTTGCTCTGGCTTTTAAATGTACTAAGAGCTGGCAAACTCTTAATACATTTAAAAGGCTGAAGCACAGCAGGGGGGACCTGGCGCAAGGTGGGACAGCTGATTCCTGGCTCGCACTGGTTCCCCCTGTTGCACTTTAGCCTTTTAAATGTGTTACAAGCCTGCCAGCAGAGGTGTGGCATCTGGTACCAGCTCCCGCCCGGTCCCCGCTACCTCCCTACCTCCTGCGGAGACAGTGCTAGGAGGAACGGGTAGTTGACTAGTCGCTTACATCCCTAGTTTTAAAATGGTTATTTACAATAGTGTTACTAGGTCTGGGTACAGCACCTCGTTTCTGCAAGAGAGAATAGGGAATATCTGATTATTAATGGAGCTTTTCCCCAAGACATGTTTTTAGAACAATAATCTTTATACATTTACTGTGAGGTAGATAAGTAATGTACTCTCTCTGATCGCAAGAACCTCCTTGTCCCAGTTTAAGTGACCTGTCCATGGCAACTTAAATAAAAATTAGTTGTTTTGGAACCGGAATTAGAGTTGTACCGCAAAGTTTAATAATTTAAAGCAGGGGTAGTATGGTATTTGTTTTCCTCTTCTATAAAAGCTGTTGAGTAGCTGAAAAACATCTTCCAGTTTTTAAATCAAATGTTTATTTAAATAAAAAATTCTGTGTCATTGTTTCCAGACATCTCAAGTGATCTCCCTCATTTCTCGTCCCCTGAATTGGTAAACAAGTATGCCATAATGGAACGACTGGATTTTTCCTACTACTTACACCATGGACGCCCATCATTTGCTTTTGGTACCTTTTTGGTCCAGCAGTTAGTAAAGAGCAAGTCCCCAAAGCAGCTGTGAGTATTTAAAAAGTAATTGTTGCATATAAATGTACAAAGCCATAC